TCCTAGGTAGTGTCGACATTTATTTTAACCAAAGATATATAGAAGCAATATGGACAAAAGATAAGAAAGAAATAGCTAATTTATCATAACGAGTAGCAACNCAAGAAAATTTTTAAAAAATACGAAGAGAAATCTTCCAAGCTAAGTTTCACGTTTTGCAGAAGGTCTATTGATTACCAGATGCAATTTGAAGCCAAAAAACCAGCCGTATGTACTTTTGCTAATTTCCGCCAAACCCTCAAAAACTTTGTTCCTTGAAATTCTTTTTTGATGGCAAACCGCTATCGAAGTGGCATCAATATACGAAATTCCTGTCATCTTTGCTTGTTCGCAAAACCATTGCAAAAGTAGCGATAAATACCACAAAATCCTAGGTTTTAAGGCAATAAATCTATCATATGAAGGTAATTTGGGAAATTCGGATTTGTACAATAATTTTAGGTAAAATAGGTAGAAAAATTTGAAATTTTTACATGGCGATTGGTGATAAAGTAGCACAGTTGTAAGAATTTCAGAATGCGTAATCTCTGGTACTCTCGTAGGTTTTTTGCTCCTTGATAGGAGTTTTTCTGCAAAATTTTTGTCGACCATATTGCAAAAATCGTCGATTAGGCAAAATAATTCTGTTATATTCTTCTTCATGGGTAACCTCTCTATTTTTTAAGATAAAATATCTCAGAGTTTACCCTATTTTCTTAACTTTTTCAGTGATTTTTAATCCATAGTTGGGGTTTTATGAGCTTATCATCTATTATAGGAGGAGTAATTAGCTCTGTATCAATGTTATCAGCATTTTATATTATCGATAAAATTAGATCTAATTGCTCAAATCATTATGTAGAGTTGGTTATGGCACCTAATGTTAATAGTCTCATAAAAGGAAGTCCGACTGATCCTACACCTAGAGTCTCCTCAGTAGAAATTTATGTTTATTTTGGAATTGGAGTGGGGTTAGTTGCTTTAGATGTAAAATCATCTGCGGCTATAGGTGCTTTAACAGGAGCAATAATTTCGGCTATTTATGCTTCCGTGTTGTATATTGGCCAGGTAGTCGAATATTTTGGCTCCAGGAAACCAGATGGCCGTGTGGACAATGTAACACTAAAATGGATTGACGATAGCCTTCAGCCAAACTAGAATCAAGATTGTGAGTTTTTAGAGGGAATATATGCCAAGCTATATAAGTAATAATACTAAGAAGGAAATATTAACAGCGGTATCTATGTTAATGGCTGCTGGGTTGGAAGGAGCTATTGTTTGATATCCCCAACCAACTAAAGTTGTAATAAGGTACTCCCAAATGCATCTTCTTCACTTTATCCTTTTTAGGTACTTTAGAATCCCACATCAAGCCTATTTTACTTTTCTTTGTGAAATTTACCTATTATTTGATCTAGCTTACTCCCAGTGTTTTTATAAGCTAGAACAAGATCCTTAATACATTATTCTGGGTTTTGCACTACATGCATAACTCTAGCCTCCACTAAAATTTGTTCATAATAAATATATTTTTAAGATATAACAGGTATATCTTAAAATGCAATGCTAAATTTATTCC